GTAAAAAGACCATTGATTTCATTTGCATTTTCATTGATTATTATTTTATATAAATTTTTATAAAAAAATTATAAAATATTTATATATTTTTAATGAAAACCATTTTTGTCGTTGATTTGTAGGTAAGCGACGATGCGATCGAAGTGATCGCCGAACAGGTGCGAGGGCTCCGGTATTTGGACCTCTCGTGGTGTCCCCGAGTCAGCGACGCCGCCCTCGAGTACATCGCCTGCGACCTGTCCGACACACTCACCCATCTTATACTCGACCGGTTTGTTGTCATTATTAACTGGACAGTCATATGAGCACAACTATATTTAGATATCATATTATTTGAATGAACAAGGTCTTTTAGAAATTTACATAAAATAAAAAAGCACTTTGTAATGCAATTTACTCCGTAAAGAAATAGTTATGTAGGACAATTTTTAAAATTTACCAGCAGGGTCTATGATAATATAAGTTTTATTAGGAATATTTACTTTAAAATTATAATGATTAAAATAAAAATACGTGTTATATTTTGTATGAGTTTATTTTTAAACTTTTCAAATTAACCAGATTTTACCAGCTTAGTGCAAACATTCCTACGCATTTTTTTGTTCAATGTAGTTTTAATTTTTCATTTCATATTTTCTAAATGCTATCACATTTTGCACTAATTGCTTACATAAGCATACAATGAATTTATTAATAATTTATCTACTAAGCAAACATTGTCATATTTGTATTGAGATTTCCCTATTTATCTAATATAATCCACATTATTAATATCGCTAACCTTGCACATATTCCACATTCAAATTTTATAACAATAAATGAATAGATTTTTATTGCCTACCCGTGTAGGTTTATTAAGTGTGTAGGTGTTATGTAACCTAATAATTATACAATACAAAGAAAATACTGTATAATAAATTAAACAAAACTTTGATTTATTAATACCTTCTAGGTCATCCGCTATAAATGTGTAATAGGCACGCTAGTTATAATGATATATTGCACAACTTATAATATAATATAATATGACATTTATTATGTATAATAATACATTTGCCAGGTCATTTATTTTAATGTATGTTGCAATTAGGTGTTTACACATAACATGCATCGGAATGGGATACGTGGCCACAATGACACGACTCTGCCATTTGTCACTCCGATGGTGTCCACAGGTGCGGGACTTTGGTTTACAAACCCTGTGCTCCATGCGATCCCTTAGAAGTCTGTCCATTGCCGGTAAACATTTGTTATTGTAATTACTATTGATAATCTAGGTCTTATAGGTGTAATTACATTTCATATTACGATCCAAATCTTAAAATTATTTTGCAATATTTAGTATTTTATTTGGAAACTGTAATTTGGTTAAAATATAAATAATATTATAATTATAGGGATTAATATTTTTTAATTGGTTTTATGATGAAATTGATAAAACTTTCATTGGTACGAACTTTAGTATTTTGAAAATTTTTAGTAATCATTAAAGTAGAGTTAAAAAATTATTATTATAATGTGATTTAATTTAATTTTCTAAATAATATTTATTTGTTTTAGATGTATTATTCAATTATCTATATTCATGTTATAATAAATATATGTACTTTAAATGACAGGC